CACACTCATTCCCACCACCCCAATCACAGAATCGATCCATCTCATCGAGGGTCTTCCTCTCCTGCGCCATCCCTCCACTCCCCCAAACGTGATGTCCCTCTCCACGGACCTGTCCCTCCTTGCAACATGCCCAAAGCATGTCAGATGAAGCTTCAGAATTCTTGCCTCCAAGGAGCAGTCTGGTGTCAACTTCTCTAGGACAAACCTGTTTGTTTTCCTAGCAGTCCATGGTTTATTCAACACTCTTCTCCAGCACCACAGCTCAAAGGCATCAATTCTCTATCATCCCTAATCACTGTCCAAGATTAGCAGATGAAAACCTTGGAAATCAAACAGAATATTCTCTGACATAGTGCTTTAAGTTAAGTCCCTTCTGCTGGAAGGCACTGAAAATACACAGCAGCCATGATGGACGATGGCGTACCCATAATCATGACGGTGACCCACAACCCGGCGGTGTTTCAGTCCATTATACCTGGGGTCACCAAGAGTCAGAGCCAGCTCAGTGACAACCAACAGCAAAGCCGAATTAAAGCTGAATATGACTTCTGTTTTAACAAAACTACCCCCACTACTGTGTGGAGAATAGCCGGATGGAGCAAGGGACGAGGAAAATGTCACCTAGGAAGCGAGAGCAGAAATCTGAGTGAGAGGAGCTGATGGATCGATAGGACCGATGGTAGAGGTAGGGAGAGTGGTCCAGTCTGGGACTGGTGTTTAAGGTGGAGGCACGGGATCTGCTGATGTGGGATGTGAGAGAAAGATAGGAAGGATGATTCCAAGAATGTTGGCCTGATCCAGGAACTGCAGTTGCCACTTGCTAATATGAGGAAGATGATGAAGTGGAGAAATTAGTTGTTCTGTCACATCACAAATCTTGCTGTTCTGAACCAAGTTGACTAAAATATTCCTCAGGGGCAGGAAGGTGGGGCTGTGGGGAGTGGGTGGGAAGAGCTCTCACTTTTAATCAAATACTCGGCCCCACTGCCAGCCCTTTTTACACCCACTCCACTCCCAACCCCTCTAGTTTATTCTCTCCCTGCCATTTTTCATACCCCAGATTTCTAGCAGAGTTCCCGCCTAGAACCTCCGGCACTCTAAGGGATTCCTCAGCTAAGAAATGTCCCGCCATGTCACCCTTCTGCTCGACCTCTTCATGGACTCCACTCTGCCAAACTTCCTCCCCTTTCATAGCAATTTTCTACCAGGAATGTTGCCTTTCCTTTTCTGTCTTTCTTAAGCACCACTGTCAAGTGTATCTGAACCTTAGTAGTATGTCTAGTTTGAGTTGCTTCCTTCATGCCTCATGAAAACAAAGCTTCCAACCTTACATGACCATGAAGAATTTTCCAGAATATTCCATGACAGTTGAACACACAGAGGATCTCATGGTAGGTCTGTGGCTTTCATCCACATGCAAACATCCCCCTCTCTGAAAGAGCCAGAAGTTCTCAGAAGGTCTAAAGTCATTGATTCCTAAATATTAGTTGGCTGATGAGTATTCACCTGACTGTGTAAGAATCACCCAAACCTCAGAACCAGCAATTATGGTTTCAGGGTTCTGGGAATGGAGAGGGGGCATGGAGTCAGTGTTTTAAAAATAACAAAGCTCAGCCAGCTTTAATCACCAGGCAGATCTGGGAACCCAGCTTTACATACAAGAGGAGAAAGTGTTCTGCCTCCAGAGAGGTCCTATTACTTTACTTGATTTACACAGCCCGATTACAACAACCCCCAGCCTACTGAGGTACGTCTGTCACATATACTAGTTTGTGCAGAATTTGAGAACAAAGGAGAGAAGGATAAAGCAAGGAGGGAAATCTCTCATCTCTGCCCCCCAAGAATGTAGTGCCTAACTATTGAGACAGGACCATCACACATGAGGGTATTTGTAGAACTGATTCAGATAAATGTATATTAATGTTCTGAAACTAGAGAGGGTGTGGTTGGCAGGCAAAACAGAGGTGGGAAGGAGAAAGGAGCCAGGTTGGGAAGAAGTTCATGTTTGCATCCAAACTGTTGGCCCATCTGTTTCTGACACTTAATATGGAACCGTTCTCTGGAGAGAAGTGCCCCGGCTGGGGCTACAGCTGGGAGGCTGTCATGGGGGTGGTTAGCATGCCCCTCACAGGGAAGCAAAATTCATGTACAGATGATGAAACAGAAATGCCTTCAGTAGAGGGGATCCAGATTTTGATGTGGAAAGCAGGCCAGCCAGGATAGGTTGATATGGAAAAGAGGTGGATCCTGGTATTGTACTTGTTCCAATATGGGACTATATGCCTTTTTTGCTAAGGGGCTCTGGTAGCCCAACCTTTAAATACTCAGCTACTAGCTGAAAGGTTGACAATTCAAGCCCACCTAGTCACTCTGAAGGAGAAAAGACCTGGTGACAGGCTCCAGCAAAGAGTACAGTCTAGAAAACTCTATGGAGTATATACTCTGTACTGTAATAACACAGGGTAATTATATTGTTAGGTGTTGTCCAGTCAAGTACAACCCATAGCAACCCTTTGAACAACAGCTCTGAACCCTGCCATCTCCTGTGCCATCCTCACAATCTCTGACACACTTGAGCCTGTTGCAGCAATCACTATATCAATCCTTCTTACTGAGAGTCTTCCTCTGTTTTTCCTCAACCCTCCAGCTTTCATAATGTCCCTCTCCAAGAAATAGCCTCTCCTAATAAGCTCAAAGTATGTGAAATGAAGCTTTATCACCTTTGCCTCCAAGGAACACTCTGACTGCACCTTCTCCAAGACATATCTTTTGTTCTTTTGGCAGTCCATGGAATATTCAGTACTCTTCTCCAACACCATAGGTCAAAGGTATCAATAATTCTTCCGTCGCCCTTATTCATTGTCCAGTTCTCAGATGTGTAACAGGTGAAAAGACAATGGCCCGAATCAGGCCTACCTTACTTCTCAAACTGACATATACTACTCCTCAATAATTTGGAGACGTCTCTGACTGCAGACTCCCAGTGCAATAATCTCCTGATCACCTCTAGTGCCAAGGGTGTTGTTGATTGTGGGTCCCAATAAGATGAAGTTCATCTTTGTTAGGTTATTATGAGTCAGAACCACTTCCGAGGCACCTAACACCACCTTCAGCTGATACATTTCCTTATTGTGGACTGCCTGTTTCATAGGCACCTGAGCCAAATCCAGTAGCCATCAGTAGGTATCCCCCTCGCACTTTTCCAAGAGAAAGGAATTGTCCCTGGGCTATTTTAAAGGGCTTTTGCACGGGAGGGACAAATTATTTGCTCATGACTAAATTCAAAAGTAGAGTCTGCAAAAGGGAAAAAAAACCTTCAATGAAATGGGTTGATGCAATGATTGCACCCACGGGCTTAAGCATGGTGGAGATTGTGAGGATGGTGAAAGGTGAGGGAGGCCAGGTCTCCTCCATCTGTTCACAGGGCCGCTGGAAGTTGGAGTCACCTTAACCCAAAACCCAAAAACTGTTCTTCTAATTCGTAGTGACCATACAGGGCAAAGCAGAACATCCCTGCAAGGGTTTCTGAGGTTGTAAACCTTTACAGAAAACAGACTGCACCACAGAGTAGCTGTTGAATTTTCACTTCCCGCCTTTCAGAAGCAAATAATCAAATAGGATGAGATTGCCTATCTTTCTCCTGCAGAACAACTGGTGAACTTGAACGCCTGCTTGCCTTCTGGGTTGGTAGCACTGCCCCTTATGACTAGGCCCCCAGACTAACCTGAAATGTTGGTGGTTCAAATCCACTGAGGCTGACATTCCACTCTCCTAAAAGATTACAGCCACAAAAACCCTACAGATCAGTTGTACTCCATAATAGTGATTTGGAATTGGGTTTTTATAATATTAACACTGAAGGGAGAAGGCTAGGTGGCCAGAAGGAGAACCCATCCCTGACTAGGTCAGAGTTCCCTGTTGTGCTCATAAAGGCCTGATCTCACTGGGCTGATGAATTTGCTATAATCCAAGATTTCCCAGATTGGCCATATTAAGAGTCCTATGGGGCCTTTTCTACAAAGATGGCGCCGAAAGTGAAGAAGGAAGCCCCTGCCCCTCCCAAAACTGAAGCCAAAGCAAAGGCATTGAAGGCCAAGAAGGCAGTCCTGAAGGGCATCCACAGCCAAAAAAAAAAGAAGATCCACACGTCACCCACGTTCCGGCGGCCTAAGACGCTGAGACTCCGACGGCAGCCCAAATACCCCCGGAAGAGCGCCCCCAGGAGAAACAAGCTTGACCACTATGCCATCATCAAATTTCCCCTGACCACTGAGTCAGCTATGAAGAAGATAGAAGATAACAACACACTTGTGTTCATTGTGGATGTCAAGGCCAATAAGCACCAAATTAAACAAGCTGTAAAGAAGTTCTATGACATTGATGTGGCTAAGGTCAACACTTTGATTAGGCCTGATGGAGAGAAGAAGGTCTATGTTCGACTTGCTCCTGATTATGATGCTTTGGATGTTGCCAACAAAATTGGGATCATCTAAACTGAGTCCAGCGGGATAATTCTAAATGTAATAAATTTTTCTCACCAAAAAAAAAAAGAGTCCTATGGGATGGATGCTCATTCAAAATATAGATTTCTGAATCAAAATTTGCAAGGAGAGGTTTTTAATTTGGTGGTACTTGTTGTTTTAAACCACTTCTTATGGAAGATCATTTTAAGAAGCCTCACTTTACTGTATCCCCTCTTTTAACCAATGAGCGATCTAATTGATCTTCTGTGATGTAGTTGCCCCCAAGGTGGCCTAACACCAGCACTGTTGACTGTTACATCTCTACACCGTGACTCCCACCCAGAGACCTCAGATTAATTCCCTCCATACTCACACTGCAGCCTTACCAGTTCCTACCTCTGCCACCACCCATTGCCAAGGCAAGAAAGAAGAGAGTTCTACTGTTTCTCTTACACCCTCTGGTGGATACGTGAGTGAGGAGTGATGACAGGGAAAACAATGGAAAAGAAGGCTAACATCCTTCCTCTTGGCCCGCAGGTACTGGAACTCCTTGAGCAACCTGGTGGCGTCCCTGCTGAACTCTGTGCGCTCCATTGCCTCCCTGCTGCTGCTCCTCTTCCTCTTCATCATCATCTTCTCCCTCTTGGGGATGCAACTCTTCGGAGGAAAGTTCAACTTTGATGAGATGCAGACCAGGAGGAGCACGTTCGATAACTTTCCCCAGTCTCTCCTCACCGTGTTTCAGGTACGGCCTCTTTGCTGTGATTACAACTGGGTGGGTGGCTGAGTGGTGGGGAGAAGGGAGAAAGAGCCTTGACACGGTGGTGGAAAGCCTCGTCCAGTCTCTGGACAGTGACACCCAGCTGAGATCAACCATGGAGGCGCCATACCCAAGAGAACGCTGACTCCTTTCTAGTTTCTTCTGCCCCAAGCCTCCATAGAATCTTACTGTGGCTGGCGCATTGGGAAGAATCTAATGAAGAGGTTATAGTTAATAGTTATGGAAATCCTTATTCAAATAAATTCCTACATGAAAGCCTAGCAGAACCTCTCTTGTTGGGAGAGGAGAGAAGGATGGAGCACTTACCCTTCCTATTTATTATCACTCAGGGTTCTTGAACCATCAAGTGTATGATTTCATAGATATTTTGGCTTAAGACACGTCTAAAGTAAGGTGCCCTTATTCAAGTTGAACAGTAGACTGAAAGTTAAAATGAGCAATAGATGAATATTGAAAAAGTCTTAAAGGTGGTACCCGAATGAGTCATGTTTGGGGAAAGTGGTGTAACCTATCCCTCTCTCGATAAACATAATCACACTGTAAAGGTGTTCTTGATTCCTTAACAGTATTGCTTTGTAAAGGTATGACTCGCTAATAATGGTGGTCATGTCATGTATAGGTCATGTGAATAATAGGATATATTTTTGACCTTAAATCCCTTTCTGTCACTTCAGAAATAATATGTTGCAGGTGATATTTTGTCTAAGAATAGAGTCAACTTCCCAGGTCAATAGCCCAGAGCCCAGGAGAAGAGAACTGGGGGCCAGGCAGAGGGAAGGAGGAGAGAAAGAAAAGGAATTTGGACGATTGTTTGCACATAGTGGGGCAGGGCAGGGGAGGTTTGGGGATTACTGTTGGTCTAACGCTGTGTCCCTTATTGGTGGGAATGTGTCATTCAGATCCTGACCGGGGAGGACTGGAATTCGGTGATGTATGATGGGATCATGGCTTATGGCGGCCCCTCTTTTCCAGGGATGTTAGTCTGTATTTACTTCATCATCCTCTTCATCTGTGGGAACTGTATCCTTTGCTACTGCTTCTCCCCCTGCTGCCCTACTTCCCTAGACCTTCAGCAAAAAGCCAAATGAGTGTGCCTGGCAGGCAGATCTTGACTGGGGCTGAACCCTTCATAGGCGATTAGACAAACACCTTAGCAGTTAGAGACGTGTCTTGGAGGCTTGGAAATGTGAGCTTCTACTGGGTTGGCTGAGACTGCAGCAGCATTGCAAGACTCCAGGGCACGTTCACATTAAATTGCTAGTTAAGGGCGCCCCTGGCATTGTGCTGGTTGCAAGCATTCACAGGACCACAGTGTGACAGCGCCCTTGGAGTTGGCACCCGGGCTGCCCGAGAGCTGTTGTTGTGTTTGCTCTAAGATGGGGCACGCAGATGCCTGAGCCGTCATCCTTGAGATTGACTTCATCTCTCCTCCCTACATGTTGGCCCATATCTTCCCATCTAAAACTTCTCCCAGGACTTCAGTCACAGGCAGAAACGGACAGGCTTTAACAAGCAGACCTCACAGGTCTCCCCTGATGTGTCCTCTGGGCAAGGTTCTGGAGTCTCAAACCTTAAGTGTTTCTTTTCTTCCCCTGCTGGATATTAAAGTGAAAAACAGCTCTGATCCAAGAATCAGGGGTCCCATGTTTAAGACCCTGATAATATAGTGGTAAGACACTGACATTAAAGTCAGTGACTTCACATCTTACCAGCTGAGTAACTTGGGGCAAATGAAAGCATCTCTTCCTCAGTACCTGTAAAGTAGGGTAACAGAACAGCAGTCCCTCCTACTACAGGGCATCTCACTGTGAGGTGTAATGCAATCATGTCTACAGAGTCCCTACCACAGTGCCAGGGATGTGGGTGAAGTATCCAGTAGCATCCCTGAAGGCATATGAGCTGTCATCCTTCTTGTACTTCTGTTTCTCTGTGTGTGTGTGTGTGTGTGTGTGTGTGAAATGGTGTGGATGTTTGAGGGCCCTCGGGGTGGAGGTCACACAACACAAACTTTATGACCTTTTTAGTGTGTTCTTTGATTCTGCACTGCTCTGACCCCCCACAGTGTTTCCATCCTGGGGAGGGGCAGATGGGGTGGGGGGCGGGGCGGGAAGGCAGATGACAGCTTCTACTAGGAATGGCTATGCATTGGCCTGCCCCTGCTGGCCCTCCTTTCGTCTTTGTATGCATGTTCATATTAAGTGTTGGCAGAGATACCAAGCAGCTTCTTCAGTTTCCAGTTATAATGAACTGCTCTTAAGAGAAATTGTTCTACTACAGACAATGCTGTTTATAGAGTCAATTACAGCCAGCCATCTCAGTAGGAAAACCAACAGTGAAATGGAGCAATTAAAGATAGAGACAGGGCTCACTGCCTCCCCAGCCCTGCTTGCAAGCTAGCCCCATTTCAGCCCTTTAAAAATGCCCAGGGAAGGAGAGGGAGGAGGGGCTCCATGGGCACTTGGGCCCCTCAAAGTGAGTTCCTCCTAAGCTGTCTCTGTGGGGCAATTCTACTCCTGCATGTTCTGTCCCCTCCTTGTCCCCTTAAGCCCACCACTATTGCCAAGGATTATTTTCTTTAAGAATGGACACAAACAGATATCCTACTGAATGTGTTCTTGGCCATTGCCGTGGACAACCTAGCTGATGCGGAGAGCCTCACCTCTGCCCAGAAAGAGGAGGAAGAAGAGAAGGAGCGGAAGAAGCTGGCCAGGTAACCCTCTAAGCTTTCTCAGACCCAAGGGCCTAAGAGTCCTAGTTTGGGGATGCCATTCCCATTGGTGACAGTGATGAGGGCACTATCCTCTGGTAACCATCCTAACTAAATGGGTACTGGGTTAGGGGGATTCCTAGAGTCAGTAACTGTAAATTGAGCTGCTTTGCTAACTTCTAGGCTCATAGCTGACCCTCCACTTGGTTTTGGGGAGGAGATTGCTCATCTTCTCAGGAGGGGTCCCTTGTAGATTCCAGTTGCCAGAGTGGCATAGCCTTTGGGTTAAGAGCACATCTCTCTATGAACTACCCCACCAGAGCTGGGGAGGGAGGACGAGATACCTCACTACTGTCAAGTCATTTCTAACTCATAGTGACCTTCTCTCTGTTTTCTGAGACAATAAATCCTAATGAGAGTAGGAGATTGCCCTCGGAGCTGCTGCTGGATTTGATCTGCATGAGATGCTTGGCTTTTGAGTTAACAGTGCTACTTGCTGTAAACCACACCACCAGAACACACTCACACACTCACACACACACTCTCTCTCTCTCTCTCTAAAGTAAAGGCAATTATAAACTTTAGCCTTTGCAAAGCTGATACTTCTTATCTTACTGAAAATATCAAGAGCAAGGGAAGATGTTGTCTTTTGAGAGGAGAGACCGTGACAGATAGGGGAAGTAAAGGATGGGGAGAGGAAGGCAGCTACTCAGGAGGGAAATAGAATTCCAGCTCGAAAAGCAGCTTCCCCTCTGTAATTCATCTGTCATGTTAAGAAGACCAGGTGGGACCTTCCATCACACCCCACTGCTGCTTGATAGAACCATTGTAGGCCTTGCAGTTGGTGGGCCCTGGGGAGAGCTCCTCCAGGAACCAAGTGTGAAGGAGATACGGAGCTTTTCTCTGATGTAGACTGGAGCAACTGAGAAGCTGGGAAAGGCCAATTGAGTACCTCAAGAGCTCATTGCCATTGAGTCGGAACTGATTCATGGCTGACCCTCCAGTGGCTTTTCAGAGGCTGTAAATTGCACAGAAAGAGATTGTCCATGCTTCTTTCATGGAAAAGCTGATGGATTCAAGCCCCTTGCCTTTTGGTTGGCAGCACAACTCCTTACCCACTAGGCCACAAGAGCTCCCATTATGGGAGGAGATTGTCCATCCTCCTCCTACCTGGAATCCTGGGACCAGCCCAATAGCGCTTGTGATTGAACTGTACACACCATGTGCCTTCAGTATGAGAAGACGGACATAGGCCCATTGGCTGCAGTAGACCAAAGTAATTTCCTTTCTTCACTGTGCCTTATCACACTAGTTAACATCTGTTTGTTCTTTTTCCTGTTGACCGGCCAGGACTGCCAGCCCAGAAAAGAAGCAAGAGGTGGTGGAAAAGCCAGTAGTCGAGGAGGCCAAGGAGGAGAAAATTGAGCTGAAATCCATTACAGCTGATGGAGAGTCTCCGCCAACCACCAAGGTGAGCCCCATTTCCTGCCAGGGGCTGTGAGGGCCTCGCTCTTCCCAGGCAAGACAAGCATAGAAAGGAAGGAAGAAGGAGGAAGGAAAGAGACTTATGGAAATGAAACTATTGTAAGTGGAGCGATAGAGCTGAGAACGTGACGAGAAGGCAGATGGATTGAATCCCAGTCTTCCGTTGCTGTCTTGGAGGATATGTGCAAAGTGACAAGGACATATTTGAGTCAACAGCTCAGCCAGTGACTCTAATTGTAATTTCAAAGCTACTGCAGGCTTCTAAAGCTGTGAAACATATCTAATTGGATTATTCCTCTTTCTCCCCGTTGGCTGACTAGATCAACATGGATGACCTCCAGCCCAATGAGAATGAGGACAAGAGCTCCTACCCCAACCCAGAAGCTACAGGTACCATTCCCACGGCCTGACCCCCAGATCTGGGAGATGGGGTTAGAGTTCCAACTTCTAAAACTCTAAGGGAATAGCAATGTATTTGAGAATAATGATCCCACTTCCCTCGACGCTATTAAACATCTTCTATCTCTGGAGTTAAGCATGATCTATCATCATCTAAGGAGAAAACTTTGTTTCTTATTTCCTCATAATAATAAAGTAAGGTTAAATAGGATCATGTTTGAACAATGCTTTTGTGTCCTTTGGAACCTGCATCCTATGTACATCTGAGATTTTAGTATATGCTGTAAAATCATTATTGAGTTATATAATTTGTTAGTATAACATATGCTACAGCATTTTGCTCATTTAATAATAATAGTAAATCCCAAGACTGCCTTGCCCTTACTCAGGGGGCAGTCCTGAGCACAAGGACAGCTGCCGCCACAGATGTCTCACTTGTTGCCTTGTAAAATGCTTTCAGGGCTCCTGTTATAAGAAGAGAGCTCCTACCAACGTGGACTTCTTGTTCATCTGTTTCATTTGTAAATTCAGCCTCCTTTTGGATGCCTTTAATGTCAAAAGAAGGAGCTTTTATGGCACAGTGGTCAAAGCATTTGGCTGCTAACCAAACGTCAGCAGTTCTAATCTCCCAACCATTCTGTGAGAGAAAAGATGAGGCCATTCCATTCTGTCAGCATTTACAACATGGGAAGTCCTAAAGGCAGGTGTACTCTGTCCTGCTGGGATCCGGTTGAGTCAGAATCATTCTGACGGCAGTTGGTAATAAAGCCAAAGATCCTTAGATGTCCCTCAGAGAATCCCTTCCTCTGGCTCATGAAACCTTGTATTGTGTCCAAGCCCTGAGCTTGCCTGCCTTTTCCTTTTAAGCTTGGAGTCAGACACACGCAGGACTTGGTGGTAGAAAGGACTGTTGATTTTACTGACATTTTCTTCTCTGTGTAGGTTAGGCTATATTTCGGTTGGTAACTAAGTTAGGTGGTTGAAAGTCTTCTACATTTATGAGCAAATCTAGGTTTTCTTTCCCACTTTCCCTCCTCCTTCTCTGCTGGCTCTGTCTACAAGGACACTCCTCCTCAGGAGACAGGCTCCCTGTGATCATGCCACCCCCTCCCACCCCCTTGCTAAGGGAGTAGGATTTCGTTTTTCTGGAACTGGAAGAAAGACGAGTAGGAAGGGTGTTCCATGTGTGGGCCAGTAAGCCTTTTGAAGCCTTAAAAACCCTTCTGGGGAGAAACTGTTAAAGCTTTTCAAAGACAACTTCCTAAAAATGTCAACCAAATGCAATGGCAATACTTCAATTCTGAATGAACAAGTGAACTTTAAAATTACGCCTTTTAAATTTCAAATGTTTGGGAGTTTTATTGGTTTGCTTACAAACGTTCATCTACATTGTGTTCTATACAATCATTGATATATGTTGTAGTATAGAATTAATTACTATTGATCTATATCTGTTATCACGCCTTCTTTTTAAGTCCTCCTGGAATCTTTCCTATTCCTTCACTACTGCCTTTGTTCACTAACTCTGCTACCCTAGTGACTTTCTCCTCTTCCTGCTCTTCTGTCTAACTTTTCTTTGCCCTTTTATACATCTATATCTTGCTCAGTGATGCTCTTATTTTCACAGTAGTGGTCTTATGCAGTATTTTTCCTTATGTGACTTAGTTGTTTTACTGAGCATAATACTTTCTCAAACTCGTTCAGCATTTCTTAAGCTAATAAATTCAAGCCTCAAGTTGCAATACTTGAAGATGCTATGGGCAGAATATTCAGTGATTCAGGAAGCATTAAAATAAGATGGAAGGAGTATACAGAGACACTGTACCAAAAAGATTTGGCTGATACAGAAGAATTTCAAGAAACAACATATTATCAAGAGGCAGTGGTGAAGAAGGAAGCACCTCAGGCTGCTCTGAAGGACTTGGCAAAAAATAAAGCCCCAGGACATGATGAAATACCAATTTACATATTTCACCTAACAGATGTTGCCCTAGTTGTGCCCACCAGGTTGTGCCAAGAAAATTGGAGGACAGCTACCTTGCCAACTGACTGGAAGAGATCCATATTTATTCCCATTCCAAAAAGAGGTGAAATTATCATACAATATCATTCATATCACACGCAGGTAAAATCCTGCTGAAGATTTCAAGAAACAAGTGGAACAGTACATTCACAGAGAGCTACCAGAAATACAAGGTGGATTTAGAAGAAGCTGTGACACTAGAGACATTATTACCAATGTCAAATGGATCTTGGCAGAAAGCAAAGAGTACCAGAGGGATCTATCTGTATTTCATTTACTATGCAAAAGCATTTAACTGTGTGGATCACAATAAATTGTTTCAAACCTTAAGAAGAATAGGAATCCCAAAACATTTGGTTGTGCTTATGCAAAACCTATACTTAGATCAAGAAGAACAGAGGAGGAAAACACTGCATTGTTCAAAATCAGAAAAGGAATACATCCGGGATGTGTCCTGTCTCCACACCTTTTCAATCTGTATGCAGAATAGTTGATTTGGGAGGCTGGGCTTTATGAGGAGGAATGTGGCATCATGATTAGAGGAAGACTCATCAACAACCTGTGTTATGCAGATGACACAACCTTGCATCCTGAAACTGAGGAGGACCTGAAGCATGTGCTGTAGTCTTCAATATGGATTGAAGCTCATCATCAAGAAGACAAAGATTCTCACCACTGGGCCAATTGACAGCACCATGATAAAGGGAGAAGAGATTGAGGTTGTTAACAATTATAGCTAGCTTGGCTCTCCACAATCAACACTTGTGGCACCAGCAGTCAGGAAATCAAAAGATGAATTGCATTGGGTAAATCTGCTGTCAGCGACCTTTCAAGAATTCTGAGAAGCATCGGTATCAGCCTGGAGACTAAGGTGCACCTGATCTAGGTGACCATCTTCACAATTACAGGCTATGCATCAGAGAGCTGGACAATGACTAAGGATGAGAAGAAGAATCAATGCCTTTGAGTTGTGGTGCTCGAGAAGAATCTTGAACATACCATGGACCACCAAGAAAACAGATAAGTCTGTCTTGGAGAAGGTGAAGCCAAGTTTTCCCTTAGAGGCTAGGACATTGAAGCTCCGTCTCACATATTTTGGGCATGTAGCCAGGAAGAACTAATCCTTGGAGAAGAACATCATGCTCAGAAGGGTGGAGAGACAGCAAAGGAAAGGAAGACCCCAGATGAGAGTGTCTAGGGCAATAGGTGTAGGCATGTGGAGTCAGTGAGACTGGCCCAGGACAGGGCAGACTTCAGAGCTGTTGTATGTAAGGTTGCTATGAGTCACAGGTGACTTGACAGCACATAACAGCAAGAGCAAATACTTTCTAATTTCTCCCATATTATATAGTATTTTACAAAATAGTTGTTCTTTGGTGCTGCCAAATATTCCATTTGTGAATGCACCACAATTTCTCAATCCATTCACTTGTTGATGGACATTTGGGCTATTTCCATTTTCTTGCGGTTGTCAATAACGCTGCTGTGAAGTAGGCATACATTAGGTCCTTCCATGTGTCAGTTCTTACTTTCTTGGTATGTAGCAGTGGAATAGCTGGGTCATAAGACCCAATCACAAAATGGGCAAAAGACATGAAAAGTCTTCTTCACAAAGCAGAACATTTGGATGGCCAAGAAACACATGAAAAAATGTCCAAAATCACTAGTAATCAGAGAGATGCAAATCAGAACAATGAGATACCATTTCACCCGGCACCAGAGGCTAAGTTTAACAACACATTTTGGAAAGGGTGCAGAGAGATTGGAACTCTTGTGTACAACTAGTGGGATTGTAAAATGGTCCAACTGCTACGGAAGGCAGTTTGGTGTTTCCTAAAATGACATGTTTTTTAAAAGTAATCAGGGGAATCTTAGTACAGACCAGTGACTCAATGACAAAAGTAGTTCTTATTCATTTCACTATGCTCCTGATATTCAAGTTTATTTTTAAAAGGTGGTATGACAGTTGAGGATTGCTCAGTAAGCAAGGTAGGCACAGGCTGACTTGTACTTATTTACTAATCTGTAGTGAACAATATTTATTGGATAGATTATGTCTTGGAGAGGGTGAACCCAGAGTGCTCCTTGGAGACAGGAATGATGAGGCTTTGTCTCACATACTTTGAGCTTGTTGCTAAGAGAGGCTATTCCTTGGAGAAGGACATCATGCTTGGAAAGGTGGAGGGAAGGCAGAGAGGCAGAGGAAAGAAACACCCTCAGCCAGGTGGATGGACACAAGACTGCAACAGTGGGCACAAGTGGATCAGAGATTGTGAGGTTGGTGCAGGATAGGACAGGATTCAGATCTATTGTTTATTGGGCTACTATGTGGAAACTACAGAACAATTTCACTGATTTCACATGCAAGCAAGATTTTACTGAAGATTATCCAAAAACGACTGGAGCAGCACATAAACAGAGGACTACCAGAAGTCCAGGCTGGTTACAGAAGGGGTCGTGGTACTAGAGAGATTGTAGCTGATGTTAGATGGATCTTGGCTGAAAGCAGGGAATACCAGAGGAATGTCTATCTGTGTTTCATTGACTATGCAAAGGCATTTGACTGTGTAGATCATAACAAACTG